TTTGAACCTTTGTATAGATTAAGACTTGAATATTCCTCTTTTTTGGTAGTTAATAATATATATGTGTTTATTTTATCCTATGCTTAATGCTTTTAAGTGCTTGATGACCATTTAGATTATTTCGTTCACTTGAGTTGTGCTTAAGAGAGCTAATTTGAGTATAGAATTTGGATAAAATAGTGTTGGACTTGAAATTTACAAAGATAAATTGATGGTTTTGTTGGTAAGATAGAAATATTTTATTAACTCTTGATAGTCATATTAAGATTGGAGTTTAAAAATTGTTTTACTAATTATTTTCAAGAGATTGCGAAATTTTGGTGTTTGCAAATATACTTGATTGCAAAATTTTAGTGTTTGTATAGATTGCTTGTGCAAATAGGTCGAGTTCTTCAATTATGCCATATGCATCATATGTATCATCAACTGAGGAAAGAATAGCAAGTAATTTGCCCACAAATTGTCTTACCAATTATAAATTGAATCTCCAAACATACACCTAATGGCCAAAATATCCTTCAATGACTCAATTCCTAGCATATTGCACCTTGGTTTGAAAGTCTAACATTTTCCACCACCTACAATGCAAATAAAATAAGTTAAGTTTTTTCTTTAATATGATGTCTGATTATATAAAAACAGCTCATCAATAAATTGTTCTTACTCAATGGCTTGGTTTAGCTCCTCCTTGTGTAGTACTTGTACAACATTAAAGTCAATGATGGCTAACTATAACAAAGGATCACTTGGAGAAGCCTATGCTAAATACATAGGTATGTAATATTTGGACTCCACCCTAGGTATACCTTTACGAATAGGGTAGTTCAATGCATGAATTACTTTTCATTCAAGGGTAGGGCTCAAGTTGCTTCACCTTGACTTCAAATGATAAGTAGTAAAGTGTATAGCTTTGTCAAGAACTTCTCCATGGATGCCAAAATGTGCAGCCTCATGTAAGCTCAGCATTCCAATCATATATTCAATTGATGACTACTTAAAATCACCATTTTCATACCTAAATTCACTACAAAAAAAATCACTTTCAGCGGTGACTTTCAGCGGCGACTCTAAAACATCGCCGCTGAAAATAATCAATCTGTAGCGACAATAAAAATCACCATTGAAAATTTAACTTTTTGCGACGGCAATATATAGTCATCACTGATTGTTAAACTTTCAGCGGCAACAAGTGCATGCCGCCATTGAAGGTCTAAGTTTTAGTGACGACATAAAAAGTAGCCACTAAAAGTTGACAATCAGTAGTGACTTTTTAAAGTTGTCATTGATTGTAACATATTTTAAAATATATTATAATTTCTTAAAAATTTAAGTTATAATAAATATGTATTTTTATCATATTTAATCTAATATTCAACTTTTTAAGACATTAATTTTGTTGTATTATTGTAATTTTATAATGAATATATAAAATAACATAATGAGTTTTCATTTAATATATTTTATGGTTAAATTGTAACTTTAAAATAATGAAATTATGTTAAGATAAGATTAAGGTATTATTTAATGCTAGTGAGCCAAAGTAAAGAATTAAACCAAACTATATTATTTTACATCAATTTTTGTTATCAAGTAATATTTGGTTTGATTCAATCCAACTATTTAGGCCAATTTGGTTAATTGGTTTTGGTCAATTAATCTCAAACCTAACTGAATTGACTAACACATACCCTATGTGAAGTGATAAATTCATTCAAAAATCTAATGTTTGATTTTTTTTTTAAATTTGGAATGCCATGTAATGTGGTAATGAGTCTCTTTTTTCAAATATTTTATAATTAAATTGATATTTTAAACAATAACACTACTTGTTTATAATAATTAGACATATGATAGTTAAATTTATTTATTTATAAAATGATATTTAATTAAATTTCTAGGTTGTTACAAACGGCGACTTTTATTGTCTCCACAAATAGAATAAGTGATAAGAGGTGATGATATTATGACAACCTGTTGTCATCATTGAAAACTTTCAGTGGCAACTTTTTCTCTTTCAAGTCATCACTAAAAGTCAATTTTTTTTATAGTGATTGATAAAATACATCTTTGCGCACACGCACGCACGCACACACACATTTATATATTCTAACTTTAAGAACTTGCATAAAATATAAATAGTGCTACTAAACATACTAGATGGCGCATGATAACCTTGTTGCCTAAGCAAATGAAACTAGAGGGAAATGATTTGAAGATTCTTTCCTTGAAAAGGAGGAGGTTTTTCATGCATATTCTCTATTATTTCTCCTATCTCACTTTCAAAAAGATAAGACACACTCAAATGTTTAATATTATCGATCAAACTCAATTTCTCTGTAAGATCCTCAACTTGAGCAAGTATAAACTTTTGAACTTGGTTTTTCATAAGTTGTAGTCATTGTTGGATTTCCAACTCTCCATTATGTACCATGAAAATTATACAATGAGAGATATCTTTTCCCCAAAAAGGAATAAAAGAGATAACTTCAAGAATATTTTTTATTTATAGTGAAAAATGATATTAAATTAAGATATTTATAATTCATTTATCTTTCTTCTACTCTAATTTTATCTCAACTTTGAATCATATAGAAAGGTTAAAAACAAAAAGAAAATATTGAAAGCGCAAGAAATGAAAGGGTGTTGAAGAGTGTAATTACAATGATAGGAGCAGATGTAAATGCAAACAAATGATACTCCTAGATATTGGGACTAAAGTGACAAACAACCATTCCTAATTAACTACTTGTCTCATTGACCAAAAGAATTGATAATACAAGCATGGTAACATCACTGCTAAAAAAACAATGTACATAATGCCCTTATACAATAGTTATTTCAAAAACCATTATGTAGATGAGGTGAGATTTAACTTGAAAGACTATATAATAGTTATTTATAATGATTGCTATATAGTTTCTAGCTCTATATAGCAGTTAATATAAATCCCCCTTATATAGTTTTATTATTTTTTATTTTATTTTTTTGTAGAGACTATATAATGATTGTTTGTAAACAACTGCTATATAGTCTCTGAAACTATATAGTGGTTACTTTAAGTAACTGTCATATAGACTTTCAAAATTTGTTAATTACATAGATTATACAGTTGTTGTTCATAAATAATTTCTATATAGCAGTTATTTGAAATAAATAACCACTATATAGTTTCCTTTAAATAATTTTTAGTTGCCTTTACTTTTTTAAATCATTATGCCTTGAAACCTTTAAAACTCTTTCTTTGTCCCACAAAACCTCTCTCATTAATCCCTACACCAAGAATCATTGTTTTCAGCCAACCCCCACTATTAATCATCAATGGATGAAGGTATTGATGTTATAGCAGTCCATCGCATCTATCTACCTATAGTTTACTCAAATGTTTCAAACCAACAATGGATGAAGGTATTGATATTATAGCAGTTCCACTTAAATCTAACTCTTCTATACTTTCATTTTCATCCAAATTGTCTGGCAATGATTAAAATTTTGAACAGCCATCTATATTGAAACTTTTGGGGGACTTTAGGTTACTAACAGAACCTGAAAGGCGCATAAGATTTTTGTAAAATTTCAACTCAAGTATTGGTAAGTACTCTATGTTTTCCCTAATTCAGGAAGCTTTATAAATTTTGAGTAGCAAGAAAGAATCAATTTTCTCAAAGAATCCATTTCTACTGTATTAAATAGAGCTTTAAGACTTTTGCAATCTTTGAAATTCATCATAGTAATTTTCTTATGTTGTCCTAAGGATGGATGAACCTTAACAAGTTTTACACACCGTTTCAAGAATTAATTGCTCAAGATTTGGAAGCACTGAAAAATTAGGAGTATGAATCAAATGTTGAGAATGACTTAAATCCATGAACTTCAACTTTTCAAACATTTACTTGGCACAACATCGCCTGATGGTCATCCATCAAAGGTGACTATTCTAGCATCATAGAATGCTCTTTTCTAGTGTCCTCCAAGGCTCTTTTTCGGTGCCATTATCATGGGGTCTTTAGGTCCCAATTGTAGTGGGGTTGTTGTGTCTTAGAAAATGTGGGCCTAGGTCTTTTTAACTTAGGCATTGTTCTAATCATTTAAAAGTCTAAGTCAACCTTTTTTTTATTTTATCTTATGATTTTTTCTCATTAAAAAATCTATATTAGCATCAATTTGATCTATAGGTACGAAATTAAAAGTGTTAATTGACATGTCAGAATTATTAATATAGTTTCTGCCATTTTATCATTCTTATGAAAATGTAGGAATCAACGTTGCAGAAGGAGAAAAGTTTAGGGACCTAGAACACTGAGAAAAGTGCATGGACCTATACCAAAACTCGAGTAAAGTATGGGTACCAAAAATAGAGTTTTCTCTAATAGGAAATAACTTTCCAATAATTGTCCCTCAAATTATATATTGAGGCTTATAATTTACATCCAATAGCCATTCAACAACTTGGTCCTAACACATGGCACCTCTCCATGAGAAAGTCTAATTTATTATTTGTTGTGACTTGTATAATTATGAAGTCTACTATGTTATAATAGTTTAAGAAATTCAAATTATATATTGAGGCTCATAATTTATATCCAATAGCCATTCATTAACTTGGTCCTAACATATGGCACCTCTCCATTAGAAAGTCTAAATTATTATTTGTTGTGACCTGTATAATTATAAAGTTTGCTGTTTTTTAATATTTAAGAAATGTTTTATCTGGTGCAATGTTTTTAATATTACAAAACATAAAATGGTTTGACTCTTTTCCAAAAGGCTATATGATAGTGTTTCCATAAACCAATAGTTCATTAACTATCAATAAAAACACCTCCCATGTGTTATAAAACATGAACAGTACTTCTACTAACTATTTTGAATGCACAAGCATAATTGTTATACAATGTAAGAAAAAGTAAAAGGAAGCAAGCAAGGTAAAAGAACATTAATCAATACAAAACAACATTAACATGATTCACTCCTCTATTAATATATAAACACAACACACAAACTTTTCCACTTGTCAATCCATCACATAGACTTTAGTATTTGAAAGCCATTGCATATGTCTGAAGCATTAACTTGTGTTGTTAATTGCCAATAGGATCGATGACTAGTGCTCTGATATGATCTTTTAATAGTTCTCCATGGGTATATTTATCTGAAAAGTTTTCATATAGCAGCTCTACAATATTTGTGAAATTCACAACACATTGAAGCACAACCTTTGGAATAAATTTTGCCTTCAAGTATTCTTCATTAATATCTTTCCATGCATCTTCTAATTCCTCTTGCAACAGTTTATAGGCCTCTAGCTCTAAAATCCCATGTTGATTCATCAAACATTTTACTGTAGAGGCAATATGTAATCTTGTTTTCTCAAACTGCCAAACCAAAACCATAAACTTAGTGCTTAGAAAAATACTTTAGGAGTTTCTTCACAATGTTATGTTATTTACATTGAAATATTAAGAGTAAAGATGCATTTTTGCCCATGAACTATTTTTCAAGGAGTATCTAATGCCATAAACTATTTGCCGTAACATTTTCACCCATAGAATAATTAAAACGTAGCATTTTTTACCTTGACGTTAAATATCTACAAATGTTTGTTAGTACTCATTGCCTTGTGGGCCCCATTTTTGTGAGTATTTAACTAATAGACACTTGTGGTTTTTTAATGTCAAGGTAAAAAATGCTATGTTTTAATTATTTTTAGGGGTGAAAATGCTAATACAGATAGTTTAAAACACTGGATGCATATCAAAGAATAGTTTAAAGGCAATATCATACCTTGTGAGAGCCCATGTCATTTACCACTCTGAAGATAATTGATGATGCTCTGACCATTTTGGGTACTTGAGAAATCCAATCAAATGCATCTCTGTTTACCGAATTCTCAAGGCCAAGTAAGCAAGTCGTCAAGAGCAAAGGACAACCACATGTCACAATTCCATTTTCAATGTACTCTTCATATGTTGGGATGTAACCATGGTGGTGCCATTTGGATTCAACTAGATTAGCTTCACAGAATTGTTGAAACTATAAGCATAATAAAGACATTAGTTAAGCAAACCTACAAATTAAGTTTATTCAAAATTTGAAAAATGTAATGCATATTAGGGAAAAGAATCATACTGCTCGTTTAACATATGGAACAAAGCATGATTTTCCAGCTTCAATAGTCAATAACTCCATCACATTAAATAGATCAAATACAGCCTGTAATACGACTTTCATGCATTGTGGAAGGGGCTTTAGAGAACTAGCATCCCATCTGGGAATCAATTTGAAGTGACAATATTTGTTTTGTCAGCTAACTATAAATGATAAAAGCATTATTTGGAAATCTATATATTTTCATAATATAATAACAAAAACTGCAGAATGCTAATTTTAAAATTATGCATATCCTAGATCGAGTATACAAGAAAATAACGAGAGTGGTCATACACACACACACATAAATTATTAGTCAATATCATTCTTAGAATTATTTAACCTGCCGATTGCTTGTGTAAATAGTTCAAGTTCTTCAATTGTGCCATATGCATCATATGTATCATCAACCACTGCCATTAAGGTGCCTAATTTGGTCATAATTGTCCTTCCAAGCATGAACTGAGGCTCAAAATATACACCCAATACCCAAAAGTAGCCTTCAACAACTCGGTCCCTAGCATATGGCACATTCGTCAGGAAGTCTAACTTTTTCCACCACCTGTAATACAAATAAATGTTAATCTTTTTCTTATAGAATAACAGATGACTTTATAGAAGCAACTCATCAATAAATTGGTCTTACTCAATGATTTGGTTTAGCTCCTTCTTGTGCAATGCTTGTACAACATTAAAGTCAATGATGGCTAATTCTAATAGAGGATCATTTGGAGAAGCCTCTGATGAATACATAGGAATGTAATATCTGGACTCGAATCTAGGCATGCCTCTTCGAATAGGGTAGTTCAATGCATGGATTACTTTCCGTTCAAGGGTAGGGCTCAAGTTGCTTAGTCTTGACTTCAAGTTATAAGTAGAATAGTGTAAAGCTTTGTCAAGAAAATCTTCTCCATGAATGGCAAAATGTGCAGCCTCATATAAGCTCAACATTCCAACCACATCTTCAATCATTGACTTCTTAAAATCACCATTTTCATCTTTGAATTGATCAAATACATCTGCATAAATATATATATGTAGTCTCACTTTTAGAAAACAAGAAGGCCTAATATATAGCGTGTATTAAGAACTTACATAAAATACATGTGGCACAAATAAGCATACCAGATGGCACATGATAACCTTCTTGCCTAAGCAAGCGAAACCAGAGGGAAGTAGTGTGAAGATCTTTGCCCTCAAAAGGAGGATGATTCTCACTCATATTCTCCATTATCTCCCCAATCTCATTTTCAAAATGATACGATACCCCTAAGCGTTTAATATTGTCAATGAAGTTCAATTTTTCAGTAAGATCCTCAACTTGAGTGAGTATCAACTTTCGAACTTGGTTCTTCAAATGTTGTAGTCGTTGTTCGATATCCAACTCTCCATTCTGTAACATGAAAATTAACGAGAGATAGCTTCAAGAATACTTTTTATTTATAGCAAAACGGATATTAATAAAAAATATTTATAATCTATTTATCTTTCTTCTACTCTAATTCTATCTAAAGTCAAACTAATCTCAACTTTAACTCATACTGAATGCTTAAAAACATGAAAAAAAAATTGTAAAAGCACAAGAAATCAAAGGGTGTTGAAGAGTGTAATTACCAGGACAGGAGCAGGGGTAATGGCAAACAAATGATAATCCCAACTATTGGGACTAAAATTAGCGATGGAACGCCTTTTTTGAGATATGGGACTAGAGGAAGACATTTTTGGCTTACAGCTTACAAAGCAGGGAATGCTTGTTGTTTAGCTGATTGCTTTATATCATTATGTGAATCGCTATTTATAGTACTCACCACTCAGCATCAACCTTAAAGTCACAAATTAATAAATTAAGACAATTAAAGCATAGAGAGATCACTACAAATCAAGAAATATAAACTTGGTCTGGAGGATCAACGCTTGAAATTTATTAACATGATGTTGACGTTCGAACAAATTGCTATTTACAAACGCAGCCAATGCATATCTGCAATAAAGCCTGTCTTTTGCCCCACGTGAATTATGTAAGATAGATAGTAAGAGATGGTAAGAAGCATATTTCAATAATCTATTTGTAACTCAAGATCGAATTTGCCTTGCCAGATAATTGTAGCTATATATTTTATAACTGATTTATATATATTTGATTTTTTTTAATATTCTAAATTGCTTGGGAAAACATGTATGCAACAATAATTGCTATAGAAATTGAGAAATTGCTTCAATAATTTACTTTTCGTTATTTAATTAGCATATTAATTAGTGTTAGTTTAAGTACACCAAACCTAAAATTTAAAGCTAAATCTTATATTTATTAACTTTTGTTTCATAAATTTAAAGATTTATCCTAACATTTTATAGAACTAACAAGTAACATGGCCTTTTTAACATGTTAAGATGATTTAACAAGTTAAGGATTTAATTGGGACCTAATAAATTCACCAGTAACATTATAGATTTAGCAAGTAATATAAGGGATTTAACAAGTCCTGTTACACAATTAACAAGTCATGTTAGGCATTGATTCACATTCTCTCTTTTCATTTCTATTAAGGGCACTTTAGTCATTTGCCTTACAAAATTATTTTCATTTTAGTCTCAATAACCTGCAGTGTATTTCCTAATTTTTATAATTAAATCACATCTATGAAATTTTCCCAAAAACACAAATACATATATATATATATATATATGTATGTATGTATATAAACTTATTTTTCACTACTTAGGTTCCGTTTTAGGAAAAACTTCTAAGAATTGTCTAATGTTGAATTTAATAATAAAATTAGATTAAGCAAAGAAGTTCTTTCAAAGTTTCTATTAAAAAAAAAAAAAACGGACGAAGGCTAGTGGTTATATGAAAAAGTACATTGAAAAGGTCCTAATTCTATTATAAATATAATCGTGATTAAAAAAAATAGAAATGTATTTAGTTAAGATTCAAGGAATGTGAGTTCAAGTGCGTATCTCGTACAAGTTACTCCTACATTTTGGAATTAGGTTTTCATAGGGATTAGGTTTTGAAAGCTATTTGTTTCAGTTTGTTTTCTTGCTAGTTTTTCTTCTATGGGCTTTGCCTCATCTTTAACCCAAAAATAACAACCAAAAAAAAAAACAACATAAAAGTTGTTTTTCCACCTAACCAGACGAGTATTGGGTTTAATTTCTTATCTATTTCCATGACAAAATATTTTTTATTAAAAGAAAACAAAAGTATAGATGAGGTTAAAATAGAAAAGAAGCAGAATAGAAGACTCCAAAATAATGAATTAATAAATTAATAATAATGACAATATTAAAATCTTCCACTCATAAGGAAAAACATAAAATAATAATCCTGAAGACTACAAAATATTGAAGCTGACTTCGCTTAGCCGCCTAGCCAGACAATTACGTTTTTGGGTTGGGTTTCGCGTTTATTAATTCCATGCAAGAGAAAACAAGCAAATGAAATAAAACAAAATAATGATTTAACATATTAATAATGCAATATCAAGAATCCACCATGTTGACTATAGCCTTTCCCTCAGACGTACTGGTTATATCAAATATTATTACTTGAAGACGTCTCTTGATTGCAATTTCACGCCTTCTAATTTTCTCGCTACAATCACACTCAAACTTTCAATGGCAATTATCACTGAAACAGCCCCTATGCCATCCTCCTCAACTATCCCGCCATGGAAGTATCATGTGTTCTTGAGACGATGATAAAACATATATATATATATATATGATAATCAAAAAAATTATATATATATATATATATCACTAACATAATATAAATATTTCAATTTATATATATATATCCTTGATGTGTGTATTATGAGTAAAATTCAAAAATATCGACAAGTAGTAGCACCAAGGATTAGGTGGTGGCAATTAAAAGGTAAGAAGCAAGATATTTTCAAGCGAAATCTTTTGGACAAAGGAATTTAGGAATCTTAAGAAAGTGCTAACATCATGTGGGAGGATATGGCTAAAAAGATAAGAAAGGTTGCAAAAGTAGTTTTGGGAGAATCAAAAGGTTCTGGTCTGAGAGATAAGGAGTCTTGGTGGTGGAATAATAGTATATAGGACAAAATCAAATATAAGAAGAACTATTTTAAAGCCATACATTTGTGCAACAATGAGAAAAATTGGGAGGCATTGTATGGCTAAGAAGGAAACTAAAAGAGCTGTGAGTGAAGCTCGTTCTAAAGCTTTTGAAGAATTTTATAAGAGCCTTGAGACGAAGGAAGGAGAATGAAACATTTATAAGATTGCTAAGAGTAGGGAAAGAAAATCAAGAGATCTAGAACAGGTAAAGTGTATAAAGGATGAAGAGGGAAGAATTTTAATTACAGACAATGAAATTAAAAATAGATGAGAGAGCTACTTTTCCGAACTTTTCAATGATGGAGAAAGTTCATCTAGTAACTTGGAGGATTTAATAACCAATGAAGGAGAACAAAATTTATCATTCTATCGAATAATATGTGATAAGGAGGTAAAGGAAGCTCTTAAAAAAATGGCAAATGGTAGAGCTAATGGACCTGATTGTATACCTATTGAAGTGTGGAAATGTTTAGGTGAAGAAGGGATGAGATGGTTAACTAAGTTATTTAATGTGATTTTACGGTCCAAGAAAATGCCTGACGAGTGGAGGAGAAGTACATTAATTTCTATTTATAAAAATAAAGGGGATGTTCAGAATTGTACTTATTATAGAGGGATTAAACTCATGAGTCACACAATGAAATTGTGGGAGAAAGTAAATGAGCACAAGTTGAGATTGGAGACAAGTATTTCTAAGAATCAGTTTGGTTTTATGCCTGGTAGATCGACTACAGAGATCATTTATCTACTAAGGGGATTAATGGAAAAGTATCGTTATAAAGGTAAAGATTTACACATGGTTTTTATTGATTTGGAAAAAGCTTATGACCGTATACTAAGAGAAGTGCTTTGGAAAGCCTTGAAAAAGAATAAAGTACGGATTGCTTATATTAAAGTCATACAAGATATGTATGAGGGGTATAAACTAGTATAAGAACGTCTAGTGGTCAAACAAAAGACTTTCCTATAAAGATTGGACTACATCAGATATCATCTTTGAGTCCTTATCTATTTAACTTGATCCTAAATATTTTGATGGAACATATTCAAGGGGAAATTTCCAAATGTATGCTCTTCGCGGATGATATAGTTGTTATAGCAAAGACAAGAGAAGAGGTTAATTGTAAACTTGAGTTATAGAGGAGGACATTGGAGTCAAAAGGTTTTTGTTTGAGTAGGAATAAAACAGAATATTTATATTGTACATTTAACAAGAGACTAGTTGACAGTAATTTGGAAGTAAAATTGGGAGACCAAATTATATATCAAGTGAAAAAGTTTAGATATTTGGGAGCCATTATTCAAAATGATGGCGAAATCACTGGGGGTATTTTATAGAGGATTCAAGCTGGGTGGTTTAATTGGAGAAAAACTAAAGAAGTTATTTGTGACTGTAAGGTGCCTAATAAACTTAAAGAAAAGTTTTATCATACTGCTATCAGACTGGCTATGTTATATAGTAGTGAATGCTGGACTCTAACGAGACAGCAAGAGCATAAAGTTGGAGTAGCAGAGATGAGAATGTTACGATGGATATGTAAACATACACATAAAGATAAAATTCAAAATGAGCACATGTATGAAAAAGTGAGGGTAGCACCTATTGACGAAAAAATGGTAGAAAATCATTTGAGATGGTTTGGGCATATACAAAGAAGACTGAGGGAGGCACCAATGAGAATAGTGAAACATATAACTTTGAGCCCTATTAAGTGGGGTAGAGGAAGGCCTAAGAGAACACTCTTGAAAGTTGTTAAACGCGATCTCTTAATTAGTAATATTTCTAAAAGCTTGATAAATGATAAAGCACAATGGCGTCTTGCAATCCATATAGCCAACCCCACCTAGTGGGATAAAGACTTGTTGTTGTCGTTGTTGTTATATATTTATATTCAGTTATATATATATATAACAAAAAATATATATACCTTTAACTTTTAATTTTTGCTTATCAATCTTTCATGGCACAAAAATAACTACATATCATGTTTACGATAAAATTTTTAGCAATTCCTTCTCAATATAAACTATCATTATAGTGGTGAAGATTTCATCTTTTCCGTGAGCACTGAATAATTTAAATGCATCATTAAGATATAAAGTTCTGTTCAATTTAAACAACTCTAGTACTTGCTTACTGAATTTACTATTTAATTCTTTCAATTGATAATTGTAATAAATAAATATATCAACACAGTAATAATGCTCAAATGTCACAAATTCTTTATGTCAATGAGATCTAAGTATATCATAGTAAAAACAATTTATATAATAAATATCAATAGCTTAGTTATTATTGAAAAAGTTAATTTTTTTATAAGAACATATGTTAACCATAACCTCTTAACTTTTGAATAAGTGATTTTATGATAGATATTAAGTATAAAACATTTAATATATCTTGAAATTTTTATTGCAATGCTTGACAAAGTTTATTAGTAATAATTATCATAATTTTTTTTATCAAATATAAAATGAAAGCAAAATCAAACAACATCAATGCTTTCAAAGTGATTATAACATTATCTTGTTAAAAACAAGTGAGTTTTATGATAACTATATTTTCAAACTACTGATAGGGGGCTAATGCTAAGCCCACCATCTTTGACAATGCAATTGTTTATGGATATATCACTTTGAGCAATACTTCTCTTA